AATCTTTCTTGGACTAAAAGTGAACCTCTTCTTGGTCGAATTATGATCCCACACGGAACACATATTCCCAACAATAGGCTGTTTCAATTGTCAAATATATTAATGCTCTTTGAGACAAAAGAGAGTGAAATTGACAAATATGGCTCGTATTTTAAAGCCATTCAATGAGAAGAGCTTGATGTTATTATCATAATAATAGACAGCAGAGTCAGTTTTTTTCATATTAGAAAGTAGTGCATGGTGAAGAAGCACACTTTTTATTTGGTCATTAAATCACGTTAGAAGTTGGGGTCAAATGCTCTGATGTAATTTCGTATAGAATTGAGCGATGAATCTTTTAGACTGGTCACAATTTCTACAAAGAAAGCTGCTGGTGAAAAACATAGACAAATGGTACCATTCTTTATGTTGCACCTTTTACTTTCTGAATATATTCTGTGTCGCTGAGTCCCTGCTAACAGTGATTTTGGCTCGAATCTTCGAGCGATGCATACCTTGTCTTAAGTTACAATGATGCACCAACAAGCGACCGTCTCTGCTCTTCTGCTCCCACTACCAACAACAAATGTCTTATCAACACGCACACTTTTGCTGCATGAGAACGTAAAAATATCACTGATAAGATCCTCATCCTTCTCAAACTTCGATTAACAAATAAGAGCCCTAGGTGTGAGGTGCGAGTATGAATATTTATTCACTCACACCCACACCCTCAAGTTAACTTAAAATTGATATATTTTTATTTCGCCAAGAAACAGTAGTCTTTAACTATTTTATCACGATATACAGGGGATCTGCGAAAGAAGGGTGTGGGTGTGAGTGTGGATGTGTCTGTGTTAGGGGTGTCATATTCCACTTACCATCACTAGTAAATGGTAACTGGTAAGTGATATAGATTACTACGCAAGAATGAAAATTAATAATTACAATAATCATTTACTAGTTCTATATCGATAATTTTTCGATAATTACAACACTTACCACTTACCTGGTAAGTGGAAGTGATGGTAAGTGATATGTGTGACACTCCTTTATAAGGAGGGCACTTCTAGATGGCTGTTACCAAGTGATAGGCCATCTCAAATAAAGCAACCTAAGCAACTAAAGGAAAAACACGTGATGATTTACTTAGGTATGCACCAGGCTTATGAATGAACCATTCGAAGTGATACATTGCTATTGAGCTGATATTTTGGGAATACCGAGAGGACCTCTAGAGTTAAATAACCCTAAAAGGATTTGGTCCTACGGCCTTCCTGTCTTGAGATATTGAATGTTCAAATTCTTGGGTAACACAGCGTTTTTGACCATATATCACTGCATCATACCATGAACAAAAAAGTATTGCTCGCTAAAAATTTTCTGATAAACTATATTATTGTTACGATCCACAGCAGTCTTCTTCATAAATGATAGTGGTCACACATTGAATTATTTTTGTACTACTACTGATATTCGAAATGTTACGATCAAGGAGATCGATAGAAAATATTTATATATCATAGCAATGAGCTTGGAAAAAATGCTGAAAGCAAAGAAATTTACGACACTAACTGCATTGAATAAAGGGCAGCAAGTGACAGCTCGATTGCTGACAGAAGCCACCATCGACATTAAAACAAATTTTGTTGACGGACTCGAAACCTTCTGGCTGTTGATCGACGTAACCTGCTGTAACCATGAATACTTTACCATAGGTATGAGCAGAGATGAGGGCAGCTGGTTGGGAATTAGAGAATTTAAGCGCATTATATCGTTTCGTTCAGATAAGTTAACGGCAATATCATCGAGTTGAATATGATCAAAAATACGCCGAGCAAACAATTTCGATTGTCTATTGAAATAAACATCGCTTGATTAAATGCGCGATGTAGTATGAGCAGGTATTTCTAGTCTTTTACATCCTTTGAAGCGAGAGTATATATCGGAATTTCTCTGACCGGACCAATAGTTCAAGAGCAAGAGAAAGTTTGCATGGAGTAAACGGGCGAAGTACATGATCCCTTCAGTATTCTACCAATGAGATGGTGGGTTTCTCTGGAGAACTGCATGTAACAACAACGTTCGAGGCAGAAAAAAGTGTGCTTTTGATATCTAATAAAGGACATATCCTTTTATTATACAAGAAACATGAAGTCGGACAAGTTACTGTCGCTCATCTTCCGTCTTGACTCCTTCAAGCAAAGAAAAACGGGATCGACGAGTTTTCCAGCAAGAGATATCAGTGTTTGAATAGTTTAAGAGTGCGTTGTTGCATTCCTTGACTTTACACGAACCAACGTAACATTTTCATCCTCATATCAGAGTGTTCTAGTCAAGCGAAGTTCAAGTTTCAGGCCAACCTGGTCAGTATTTTAATTTTCTTCAGGCACATAGTCCTTCATCTCCCGTTTCACATCGGCTAAAAAGGAATCAGCAGATGCAATGATAGCATCAGAATTTTCTTCATGATAACGGGTCACTAGTGTGGATGTGGAGTGTGGGTGTGGGCGTCCGTCCATTATTCATCCAACCAAACAGAGAGTCACACCCACACCCACACCCTTATCAATCTGTGAATGAGTTAGGTGATTAGAAGTCCTAAAATACGCTTTGAATTGACTTTTATAAAAACACATTCGACGAAGTGAAATAATCGGATTTACTATCTCACATATTTTAATTGTTTTGAATCTGGTCAAGATCATATTCATTTTTCAATTATCATCTTAATAGTTGTCTTCTATTGAACTGTAAATGAAATATAAATCTATAACCAGATTTCAAATAATACATCGTTACTTGTAAAATCGAATTGTGCATGTTTTTTCTTTATTAACTGCTGCAATGGTCTTTCTTTCTCATCACATAATAACTATGAATTAGACTTTATTTGAATTACATCCGAGAATGATATATTAGTATGCGAGTATTTGTGAAGAAACCTGAAAATAATCACAATAGAGTAATACAAAAGAAAGTATGTCAATCGACCCTTTTTTCAAGAAATGATTCGGATGAGCCTCCAAATTTTAACTCGAATTTATCTTCACCACGATAGTTATTGGTTTGAACAAACCATTTGCCTTCGAATTGACCATGAATCGTATTCCATATCAATTGCACAGTTACTGCATGTCCGAAGTTTTCTTTAGCATCACCAGTACCTAATGCATAGATTTTGGTCAGGGCAATTCGTTGGTTCTCTTCAGAGAACGTTCCGTCAATGGTAAACTTGCCAACATCATCGTATCCGTGTCCTGTTACTCGACCTGTGGCATGATCGAATGTTATTGACATTAGATGTGGTCCATGCCATTGACCATATTGATAATATCGACTCATCCAATCTCCATTTTTGAAATAGTTTTCTTCATACGTTTGATAGGTTTTATTGCGTTCATTTGTAGAACTCTTAGTGATGAAACTTGCATTGGATTCTGACGGTCGACCACGATATCGACGGCAACAAAAGATAATGAGAAAGATGATTGCGATTAGACCGAGTATACCACCTATTACACTGCCTACAATAATTCCTGCTTTGTGGCAATTTGAACCTTGACAAGTACTTCCACGATTTGTACCACCTAGAACCAATACTTTTCTCAAGAAGATTCATAATGTTTGACATGAAATAATTACCTCTATAGCCACTACCACCACGGCTTCCACCACCTCGACTTCCACCACGAGCACCCTGACTATGAACGAGGATGACGACTAGTGCAACAATCAACACCAAGCGAAATACGATGTGCATGGTGATGAAAACTGAGCACAAAAACTTGATTTGTATACGTTATTTTATCCTTCACTTTAATATAAGTATGTATAGAAGACTGATTGTGAAATAGAAATGAATAAAAATTGTGTTTGCTTTATGCGTCGACGAATCGCACTACCATTATAGAGAGAGAGAAAAATAAGTATAACGGTGAATATTGACTAATTACTTTTTCACTCATTCTCCGATCATGAAATACACATATATATACATACTACCGAATATTATGATTGACAACAAAACCAACGAAATACGACACGCACATGGCAACGTTTTCTTACGTCGTCGAAACATTACACGAAGTTCATATCCACACAGGTGACTATTGACATCACTGAAGAGCAGGCATGAGCAAAAATCACAAACATATGTGTGTTCTTTACAACAAGCATCCTTCAGCTATCAACTACACATGTTTTTTACGAATGTTTGATGGAACAAACCAATCGGTGATCATTTGCCTGAAAACTCCGTCAGTCGCACAGAAAAACTTGCTCTGATTAATCAAAAGTTTTTTTTGCGAGAATTCATACATTATATTCTTCGGTAAAGATTTAAACTGTATATCAAATGAAAAAAACCAGTATCACTGTAAAAAAAAATGCAATATATACACTTCTAAGTTCTGCTTTTGTGATACTATTAGTAAGTTTCGTGTTATATTCATATAATCTCATGCTGATTGAAAACTATCTGAAGAAAAGATCAATTTTCTTTTTTCCAGCATCCTGAGTGATTATCGAATTGAGACAGAAATCAATTTTTCAATTGTAGACCAAACATCATTTTTTTGCTTGCCGATTGTCGGATGATCGTTGTTGATGATTGACAATATATTTTTGCTCAAAATTGATCTCCGCTTTTGCAACATTTTCTTCAATTGAGCAGCATAATTTAATTCTTCTTTTTGTTATCAGTTTCAAACTGGAAGATGCGTGTGTTCGTTTTTCGTATTGATGGAAGATCGATGCAAGAAAGACTTGAGAAGACATGAAGATATCAATTTTTATCGTATTTGTCATCGATGAAAGAAAATCAAAACATCGGTTCTATCGTTGTATGTTGTACAATATTTGTGAAGCATTGAAATCTAGGTAAGATAGTTGATTCATTATTATTTTCTGCCATTTGTTTTGTTGCTGGCGTTTACCATAGAGTTGTTGAAAAATGTTTTGATTTCTGATTTTGCTGATGACTTCGATGCAGCCACTCAATTGGATAATGCAGTTTTTCATGCGCTGGCTTTAAACCTGTCGACAAACTAGACCATATATAAGAAAAGTTCTTTGTTGAATTCTTACGCTTAGATAGAGAATTATCATAACCAAAAGATCTGTCTTTAATAAGACGAGCAAAGATCAATCATCTGATTTCATTTTTAGGCTATTGAAAATGATTTTATAATATATTGATGTCGATGACTTTTATCTTTCGCACATATACCTTTTTCCAGGGGCGGCACGAAGAGGTCAAAGCAGGGGAGTATTTCGAAAAATGGGAGGAAATGTGAAACAAACGTTTCGAAATTCAAATATTGAGGTCGGGACGGCGATTTTTTTCTCAAGTTCTTATAAATTTTTCCAAGGTTTTCGAAAATCGATGAGCAAAAAAACGAAAATTTTCAAAAACTGGCGGCATCCTCTCCCAACCCCCCCCGCCCCCGTCGCGCCGTCCCCGCCTTTTTCGATCATTTTTGTCTACTATCCTTATTTCTAAGATCAACAAAGCATAATACCAAACAATCAAAACATTGGATTTCATTGGGTAAATTTTTTTAACAAACACTAGGATGTGGACGTGGTTGTAAAGAAGATGCATCCACACCAACAATAGACAAATGCGGCATAAAATTTATTGAATATATTTCTTTTCAACCAATTAATTAGTTTTGAACATACTATTATTGATACCGTATTTTTTAAATGCAACTATAATGGTACATCAGTTTTCCCCTATTTCTTTCGTGTTTTTCTTCACTATGCTTTACTCATTAGTATATAATGTATTTGAAAACTCGTAAACTTAGTAGTCGCTTTTATTCTCGTATACTGTTAGTGTAGCATCGTCCACACCCCTACGCACATTGTATTAGATATCGTCAAACTGTGCAATCACGTTTAAAAGTAGCAGTGGACAAACGTACAAAAATTTTACATAATAACTCTGATAGACAAGCAATTTAACATATTCGTATGTTCAATTATTAAAGTATAATATTGTTGCTTATATTGAAAAGTCAACATCTATCAATTATTGTATATACTATTCATGATTGGTTACTGTCGTCTATAGATTTTGATGAATGGGAATAATATATAGATCATTTATTACTAAAACAACAACATTTACTGAAACTTACCTTAATTTTTTTTGTAATTAATTTGCAAGTATGTGAATCATTTTTTAGAGAAGTGTGATATTACAACAAACTAAACGTATCGAACAATGGAATGATTAAAAGAATCATTTAGTATTTTTGGTCCATTGTAAACATAAAATAGATGATTTATTGCCACTTCAAAACATAATTAATATGAATGATTTGAATGTCGAAGATATTACTGTGAAAGCATATGAACAAGTACAAAAACATATGACTATTTTAAAAAAAGTGACATAAGTGATCTTTCCAAGCTTGGCTTCGAAAATAATTCAGATATAGATGAAAAAACATCAAATGAAGAAGATGGCGATGTTGATGATGAGCCTAATACAATTACAACGAAAAAAAAAACAGTATTTAGTGAAATAACAATTAGAAATTGAATTAATTCAAATTTAAAAAGATCCTATATTCAAATTAGCATAAATAATATTGTACGATATGGGTGTGGGTGTGGGTGATGGGCATGTGGATTGTGGGTGGCTAGAGTGAGTGGGGGGTATGGGTGTGGGTGTGGATGCGGATGTGTGTCTATTCTTCACTGACAGCGGCACCTACACCCACATCCAAAAATATACTTACGGATGAGTTTCTTTTTTGATTCAGAAAATTCTATATTCTACTTGACTCTTTACAATTTTATCCTAACTGTAAAACTCGCAACGTGAGAAAGTGGCACAATATTTTTCTTAATCAATTTATTGAGCTTCGTACAACGTCTAATTCTTTGTCTGTCATGATTAATCTTGTCAAAAATATAGCCAAATGAAAGAATTACGTACATTAGTAACGTTATCTCGAGATATTATCTGCATCGTTGACAGTAGACAAATCAACCAACTAATAACAAAGTAACAACATGCTGATGCTATTCTGCATATCAATATTCATTCATTATGCATCTGCTATTTCATCTTCTTTTTGAATGTTTGTGTCATTTATTTTGACGAGTTATATTTTCTTCTCCTTACCAATTAACAAAACAAATTTTCTTATTCCTGTTTATCTTGATCTGTTTTCTTCCTATCAAAAGTTGTATTACTATCAGAACTGTTTCAATAATTAGGTCAATCTGTATGCGTTATTCTTTACTTACTATTGCTAGATAATTATGTGGATTTCCTTCTATACGTGTTTCTTTCTAAGCAGGAGAAGGACGTCTAGAGTTGTTATAAACAGCATAATATTCTATTAAGACTAGTGTCTATGAACTTTCGATCCATTTTAAGATAATCAATAGTGAACGTATGATAGTGAAACACACGAGTGTACCTAGAGTTATTATATGCATAGCTAGATCTATACGAATATTTTAGAAACATTATTCACAAGCTGTTGGAATTTTCAATGATGCTCGACATACACACAATTATTTGCTCGTTTGCTATAGCCATTAACTCTCTCATATTGTTTTATCTGTCAGCTGTTTTATATTTCCATATTCTATAACTTTCTATTCTATCTTCATTGTCTTGCTATACAAGAATTAATTTTCATTCTGTGTTAAACGTCTCATAAGAATAGGCTGTCAGCTAATTTTTACATAGCTAATCTCTGTATAACTTCGTATATACCAAAATCTCAACCAAGTCTAACATGTTTTTAGATCTAGTTTTATTTTAAAAAAAGAGTTGATCTTGTTAGAATCGCCATCTATAATATATATTTATGCATGGACAAACCTTCATCCTGTTCTCTATTCTACCTTTTTTTTCTTCTCTCTAGTCAAATATATTTGTAATTCGTAGTTTTTTTTTATTGCCGATGCGCATGATTGTTAAAGGTCATATGTTTTTTTTTATTTCGTTTGTTTCTTTATGAAAAGATGAGGTTCCTATTATATTGTTGGAATAGAAGAAAACGAAACCTAACCGAGATCTGAATGATAGAGATAGGACAATGAGTTTCTAATCAATCTTTATTTCATTTATTTAGTTATGGAGTTGTTTTCATTAACAAGGAATACAACACTAACAGATATAAAATGGCAAGCTTATCCAATTGGTTTTCTCCTATCACTGTTATGTCTGTTCACTATAATAGGTAATCTATTAATTCTATATGTTATAATACGCCAGTCAACGTTACATACATCTAAATATTACTATATTGCATCATTGGCATTTGCTGATCTATTAGTTGGACTAGTTGGAATGCCGTTAGCCTTCATATTTGAAATGACAGATGATGAGTATTGGTTGTTTGCAGGACATCTTAGTTTTTTATGCGATTTTTTCTATTCCATGGATGCATTCGGAACAACAGCATCAATATTTGGACTGTCAGCTATTGGAATAGATCGGTACGTGGCTATTACAAGGCCACTGGAATATCATACTTCATTTATATCGAAAAAATGGTGTTGGGTGTTGTCATTTATATGGATATTTTCAGCTGTTACATCAGTTCCACCTGTAATTTTTATTGGAAGAGAAAAATTTATTAGTATGTAAAAATGAATATTTTTGTTTTGTAGTGTAGTGTTGAAATTGTTGCACATTCATCCTAATAGTCTTTAAGTTATCTAAGTTTGCATGTGCGGCAATAAGACAAAGATGAATTCTAGGCAATTGTGCGAATAAGCTTTGTTTTT